CGCTGCAGTGAACACCAAGACCGCCACCTACAACGCGGGTCTCGCCACTGACAAAAGTGCCCAGCAGACTGTTCACAAAGCTGAGGGATCTGGGACTTAACAGCCGTCTGTGTGCATGGGTGTTGGACTTCCTCACTGGCAGAACTCAGGTGGTGAGGGTGGGCAGGTGCTTCTCCAACAGCATCACCATCAACACAGGAGCACCTCAGGGATGTGTCCTCTCGCCACTGCTCTACTCCCTCTACACTTCAGACTGTGTGGCCACCCATGGCTCCAACACCATTGTAAGTTTGCTGACGACACAGTGGTGTTGGGTGCCATCTCCAACAACGATGAGGCGGCCTACATGGATGAAGTGAAGAATCTGGCATCGTGGTGCCAGGACAGCCACCTCCAGCTGAACGTCAGCAAGACCAAGGAGCTGGTGGTGGACTTCAGAAGGGGTCAGCACAGAGACTACAAGCCCATTATCATCAATGGAGCTCCAGTGGAGAGGGTGCAGTCCTTCAAGTATCTTGGTGTCCACATCTCCTCAGACCTGACATGGGCTGCCCACATTCAGGTCCAGACCAAAAAGGCTAGGCAGCGCCTGTATCACCTACGACAACTGAGGAAGTTCAGGGTCTCTCCAAAGATCCTCAGGATTTTCTATACAGGCGCTGTGGAGAGCATCCTCACACAGAACATGACATCGTGGTTCGGGAACAGCTGTGTGAAGGACCAAAAAGCTCTCCAGAGAGTGATCCGTACAGCAGAACGCTGCTCACTACAGCACAAGACACTTTAACACCCTCCTCACGCAACGTACACAAGCTGTAAATTTCCACATTGTTTTATTTGATTTTATTCCTATTTATATAATGCACATAACTCACCCACTTGCTGCACATAATGCCCTCCTTGTATATACTCATTCACTGTATATAAAGTTCTGTCTGTCTCTCTTTGCACAGTCGAGGAGCGTATCAGGTCACATTTCACTGCGTGTTACACCTGTATAACCATGCACGGCACAAAGAAAGAATCTTGAATGGCGAGACGTTCTCTCACTGACAATGCAAAACTTTATTGGCCAATAGTTGCTGATCTATCGGCCGGGCCTGTGGACCGAGGGCTGGTGCTTCGTAGTTATCTAATGTATCACATACGTTTTTCAAAATGCTCAGGTTTTACAGCAGGTGATGTTTTACATTTCGTAAAGTGTAAGTCTGTTTCGTGGAAGGTCAGGTTTCAAAGTTCGTGACAATATCAGATTTCACAGTTTAGTTAGACTAGTTTAGGTTAGTTTGGTTAGTTTTCAACCATCTGACAGGTTAAGTCACCTTTTCATAGAAAAGTCAAACCAAAGAGGACCTACAAGCTATCCCTGTGGGACTCCATATGCAGCCTCTGTTGCAGACATAAAGCAGTTCTGACAGATGGCTCATCATCTGGTCTGTAAGTTCTCAGGAGCATAAAGACAAATGAACATAAGGAGGGAGCAGCGCCTCATCAAAGGTCTAAATATACAGACAGCAGTTTCTCAGTTTCTGTCCCCAGCTCATGTTCCCATTGGCTCATTCTTTCAGACGGTCATCACCTGCATCGGGACTCTGAAGAAGAACATGGCAGATGAGGACGGCGTGAGCTGCCTGGTGATCGGGACGGAGAGCGGCGAGGTCTTCGTTCTCGACCCCGAAGCTTTCATCATCCTCTCCAAGGTAAAGTCGCTCCACGGCCCACTGTGGGACCGACTGCATCTGTGTATTTACTTTTAAGCAGCTGAGGCCAGCCTGTGGAGCGCCACAGGGATCAGCAGTGGGCCGCTATCAGATGCACTCACTGAAAGATTTAGACACATTTCTGAGACGTCCTGCAAAGTAACCCCCGTCCCGAACACCGGTCGTCTCCGTGTTTACCTGAGAGCAAACATAAAGAAAACAAAGGTCACTTTTTAACTGAACCCTTGTGTTGAAGATGACGCTGCCCGCCGTCCCCACCATCATGGATGTGACGGGTCAATTCGACGTGGAGTTTCGCATCACGGCGGTGTGTCGCAACGGCAACATCTACATCCTGCGCAGGTGAGGCACACCTGTAGATTCCTTTCACAATAAAGGCTGTAAAATGGGAGGAGTGGGCTGATGCTAACATCTCCAGATAGAAGTGGAAGCACATCGTTAACCTTTTAGCAAAAGGCCCGATCATTTCATGAACCCGAACAAACAGAACGTAAATATGAGTCTAAAAACAAATACGGGAACCCCTCGGGACAGGAACCCGATCTGCTGGGTGAAAGTCCTGACCAACCTGTCCGAACATCTGACCCACGCTGGTCAATAGAGCAGAATGAAGCACAGCTGTCTGTGAAACGTTCGTGGAGCAGAGGCCGGTGTGACAGGGCCGACGTCACGTCCCTGTGCAGGGCAGGAAGCTCTATCCCTCGCTCTCGTCCTCTGAAAAACACTTATCTTCCATTTTCATGTTCCAAAGTGCAGTTTAAACTTGATTCCACTGCGACATCATCAGTGAGCAGAGACACACCTACAGAGCTCCGAGTTTCAGGGCCAGACGAGCGTAGCTCAGTGTTTCCTTTTTCCTTCAGCGGTGATGAAGCTGCAGCAGATACTCGAGAATATTCTTTAACATCTTACGGTCCAGTAATAACGACTTTGTGGTCGCGCTGCTGTGTTGATGTTGGACTGCTCGCCACTCTGTCGGTGTGTGGACAACAAGCTCCCTGACCCTGACACACGTTTCCTCGTTTGTGCGTCCTTCAGGGAGGCGGACAAACCCAAGTACTGCATCGAGCTGTCGTCTCACGCCGTCGGCCTGGTGAGAGTCGGGAAGAACGTGGTGGTCGGCTGCACTGACGAGACCCTGCAGGGCTTCACACAGAAGGTAAGCCCCGCCCCTGCAGCCACATGTTTGTGAATCTCAGAACTTGGGAGGGGGGGGCGGTCGCGATAAACCATGTTTGTGTTTGATGTTCAGGGGAAGAAGCTTTGGAAGACTGTGCTCGCCGCGCCCATCGTCACCATGGCCTCCATGGACCTCCCTACCAGGGGCTTCCAGGCGGTTCTGGTGGGTTTGGCCAACTGTGAGGTGCAGCTGTACCGGGACAAGAACCTGCTGAGCACCATCAAGACCCCCGATGTGGTCACCAGCATCTGCTTCGGCCGCTACGGCCGCGAGGACGGGACCCTCATCATGACCACCAAGGGTGGCGGTCTGATGGTGAAGATCCTGAAGAGGACAGCGACGTTCGATGACAGAGACAGCGCCCCCGGCCCACCACTGGCCCAAAGCGTTCGCCTCAACGTGCCCAAGAAGACGAAGCTGTACGTGGACCAGACGCTGAGAGAGCGGGAGAGCGGCCTGGCCATGCACCGCGCTTTCCAGATGGACCTGAGCCGCCTGCGGCTGGCCGCCGCCAAAGCCTACGTCAAAGCGCTGGAGTCCAGCCTGACGCCGATGTCCGCCAGCCTCGCTGAGCCGCTGAAGATGAACGCCGTGGTGCAGGGTCTGGGCCCGTCCTTCAAACTGACCCTGAATGTCCAGAACACGGCGGCGTGCCGGCCCGTCACGAACCTCGCCATCAGCTTCCTGTATGACGAGAGCCTGTACCGGATGAGGAACCCCTACATGAGGATCCCACTGCTCGTGCCCGGGCTCATCTACCCCGTGGAGACCTTCGTCGAGTGCACCAGCGACAAGGGCATCTCTGACGTCATCAAGGTGTTCGTCCTGCACGAGGGGAGGAGCTCGCCGCTGCTCACCGCCCACATCAACATGCCCGTGAGCGAGGGGCTGACGCTCAACTGACCGCACAACAGCACTCGTCATCCAGGCTGGACGTGCAGATGTGAGGTCGTCGCTACGTTTCCCAGTTTTTCATTCTTCGTTTGTTTTCATCGTTTAATCCAGAAAGACTTTCACACGTTTACGCTAATGACGCAAATTTATGAGATTCAGAAACGCCAACCTTTGTCACGTGACCACGAAACTCGTCAGCCCGTCTCTGCCCCGTGTGACCAGGACATCGTGTGTGTGTGTGAGGTGTGTGCGTGTGTGTGTGTTTCCATGTGTTGTGATTGTCACGTTTGTAAAGTTTGTATAGAAACAGTTTTAATGGAGAATAAAATAAAGGGTCAGAGTGTGAGGTGTGTTTTCCTTCAGAGATTTTAACGTTTGTGTTGGTTTAGACTCCAGATGAGTTTTCTTCACTGTAACAGAAACAGCTGAAGCTCAGAGAACATCAGGGCGCTTCAGCACAGACTCTGGTGTAGTCCTGACCTCTGAGTTCGTTCACTCAGTCTGTGCTGTGGAGACGAGGTCACGTCAGGGAACGACAGAGGCCAACTCAAACACTCAGATTAACCGCTGACCTGTGGACTCGAGGACCCCGCATGCGCGATGGTCACTGCGGCCGAGCCTTCGGACCCATCAGAACTGACACTCGGATGATTTTAACTCATTTTCACTCTGTTTGGACAGCTGCTGTCTGAGGGGTCAAAGGTCACACGTTTCCAAGGTTTCACGTTTCGTGGTCCTGCTCAGTTTGTCACATTCAGGTGATGAACTTGGAAAACACATCAGTGTAAGCAATCAGAATGTTTTCTAGGAACAACGGCTGAAGACAAAAGTGAGAAAACCAGTGAAAACAGTCACAGACTCACTGACAGCACGTAAACGTTATAATTCGTCACGTCATTGTATCATTCATGTATAGATCTTGTATTACATGATCGTCATTTTATGTTAGTTTTCACACTGTGAGGAGCGTCAGCTTAATGTCACAATGAAATCCTGAATCTGTATGATTGATGAGGCACAAGCAGGCCGTCAGGCAGGCTGAATATTACAATATTATTATAGTATAACAGTGATCTGAGCCGGAGCTGCTGACTGCAGAGAGCTGGATCGTTGGTCTGCACAGCGACTGATGCAACACAAATACAAACACTGAGTTTCATCATTGCCGTTTTCTCTGCTGTGGCGAAATAACGAAAACTCCTGAAAGTGTTTGTTTGTTTTCAGCCTTTAAAGTCTGCGAGACGACGAGCAGGCGCTCAGCCTGAGGGTCGCAGCTGAAGATGAGGCGCCTCCTCGTTTTACTGGGTGAGGAAACTTTCAAAGATTAAACCGTCACAGCTTAAAGCTGCCATTCTTTGAACTCGTATTATTTCTGAGAACAGCATGTAGCATGTGAAAGTTCACTGTGGATGACACAGAAGGACAAAATTTAAATGTAAACTGACCTTTGTGACATTATGGGGACCTCCATACATGGGCTCACCAACCACACAGGGACAGATTCAGTCCCTGCAGTGTAACAATGTAAATTTTGGGGTAAAAGCTTGATTTGCATGTTTTTAAATACACTTATTTAAAAACAGAACAAAATGTTCACCTTTTAAAGAAAGAATATATGAACAGATGAACCGATGTTGTAACCAGGTGATGTTGTTTATCTTTGATCAGTCAGGTGTTATCAGTGTTTACACCTAATCAGCTGATCACCCGAGTCACGCTGTTATTCTCTCAGCACGTTTAACAATTCAAAGATCATTTTTAAACATGAAGTTGTTTCTAGAAGACCAAATCCACTTTGTAACTTAATTTATTGACAAGGTTTGTAATAAAACCCAAGGCTGTGTCCATAAAAGTCTAAATCTGTGTGTGTCCAGCTGTTTTGTGGGTGTGTGACGGCGTTAAGTTCGGTCAGCTGTGCAGCAGTAACCCGAGCAACAGCCGGAGGACGTCGGACAGATGGGGACAGGGACAGTACGGAGCCGGACGGTACTCAGAGATCACGTTTTTGTTGTAAGGCTGGTGTGGACAATGTGGCACAGCTGCTCACAGCTGGATGTCTGCTGGTTACAGGGGGACCAGACTCCACCAAGGGCTGGACATCAAGTGCAGCGACGGCGCCGCTGTCTACGCTCCGTTTGACGTGACTCTTAAAGGGAAACTGACCGTCTACACCGACCCCAGTAAGGCAGCCATCAACGAGGGCATCAACCTGTCAGGACAGGGTAGGTCATCACGCGCAGCCAGCACTAACAGAGTTACTGATCCTGGTACTGATTCACTGATCGAGGCGTTGCGTTTGCATCCTGCAGGTCTTTGTTTCAAGCTGTTCTACGTGAGGCCGGACCGAACCTCAGGAACGGTGAGGAAGGGGCAGAGGATCGGCACCATGCTGCCCATGCAGAGCGTTTATCCGGGAATCACCTCACACATCCACGTCCAGATGTGCGACAAGCGCGACCCCACGCCATACTTCTGATCCACCTTCAAACACCGTCGACAACCTTCATTACCAAAGAGGCTTTTCTCTGAATGTTGGTGGAAAACTTTAGCTCCTCATCCATATAAAAGGATTCTGATGGGTTACAATAAAACACTTTGAAAACCGTTTATTTCTTTAGTGTCTGTTGTATACATGCTGCTTCGTAACAGCTATAGTTATAAGTCAGTCATTATTAGGGGCGTGGCCACTTTGACTGGCAGGTGGATGTTGACACAGGTGGCTCTAACTGCTAGCTTCAGCTTAAGTTCAAGTTCAAAGTTTATTCGCCACATGCATGTTGCCCTGCAGTGGAATGAACCCGCCCCCCGACCTTACACACACAACACAGACATCACATGGGGATACAAGTCAGAGAACGGCTGCATTACAGAAAAACCACTGAAATGTACACTACAATGGGAAAGTACAAGAGGAAAAAAAGAGACCTCTGCTCATGCTGGGCTACAGGAGGACAGCATGAGGACAGGAAACAAAAAAACTCCTCTGCACAAAAAAGCACATAAATGTTCACAGCACAACATTATGGAGCACGTGACCAGCAACAGGGTTGGGTAGGGGATGAGGAGTAATCCCAGGCAACACAGCAGCCATCCTGCCACTGTGCCGACTCTCCAGCGCGGCCCAGACCCGCCTCGTGTTCCCAGGAGGCAACAAGCATCGAAGGCATTGGAAGGGGAGGGGGGATGTGTGAGTGCTTATCAGTGTAAGTGTGTGCGTGTCCATAGTTCACCTGAGACAGTGTCCTCCGCCCTATCAGGCTAAGTAAACAGTCTGCTAGCCAACCCAGGTGGCCTGGCATGGGACGGGAAGAATAGTCATCACACAGTTGTTATCAGGGAGTTGTTGTTCGTCTCCAGCCTTGGGCCCGTGCAGCTGGCGCCGTGTTGTCCACATGTTGATGTTGTTGATTTTTCTTTTATGCGAGACCCTACAATAATACATACAGAGAAAAACCCAACAATCATATGACCCCCTATGAGCAAGCACTTTGGCGACAGTGGGAAGGAAAAACTCCCTTTTAACAGGAAGAAACCTCCAGCAGAACCAGGCTCAGGGAGGGGCGGGGCCATCTGCTGTGATTGGTTGGGGTGAGAGAAGGAAGACAGGATAAAGACATGCTGTGGAAGAGAGACAGAGGTTAATAACAGATATGATTCAATGCAGAGAGGTCTGTTAACACATAGTGAGTGAAGAAGAAACACCCAGTGCATCATGGGAATCCCCCAGCAGCCTACGTCTATTGCAGCATAACTAAGGGAGGATTCAGGGTCACCTGGTCCAGCCCTAACTATATGCTTTAGCAAAAAGGAAAGTTTGAAGCCTGATCTTGAAAGTAGAGATAGTGTCTGTCTCCTGAATCCAAACTGGAAGCTGGTTCCACAGAAGAGGGGCCTGAAAACTGAAGGCTCTGCCTCCCATTCTACTTTTAAATACTCTAGGAACAACAAGTAGGCCTGCAGAGCGAGAGCGAAGTGCTCTAATAGGGTGATATGGTACTACAAGGTCATTAAGATAAGATGGGGCCTGATTATTTAAGACCTTGTATGTGAGGAGCAGGATTTTGAATTCTGGATTTAACAGGAAGCCAAAACAGGAGAAATCTGCTCTCTCTTTCTAGTCCCTGTCAGGACTCTTGCTGCAGCATTTTGGATCAGCTGAAGGCTTTTCAGGGAGTTTTTAGGACATCCTGATAATAATGAATTACAGTCGTCCAGCCTGGAAGTAATAAATGCATGAACTAGTTTTTCAGCGTCACTCTGAGACAGGATATTTCTAACTTTAGAGATGTTGCACAAATGGAAGAAAGCAGTCTTACATATTTGTTTAATATGTGCGTTGAAGGACATGTCCTGGTCAAAAATGACTCCAAGGTTCCTCACAGTGTTACTGGAGGCCAAGGTAATGCCATCCAGAGTAAGAATCTGGTTAGGTGGTGGTACATAGCTGATTAGCAGTGTAAATGTATGCTATGTCTTCTAATGATGCTGCCTAAGGGAAGCATGTATAATGTAAACAGAATTGGTCCTAGCACTGAACCCTGTGGAACTCCATAATTAACCTCAGTGTGTGAAGAGGACTCTCCATTTACATGCACAAACTGGAGTCTATTAGATAGATATGATACAAACCACTGCAGCGCAGTACCTGTAATACCTACAGCATGTTCTAATCGCTCTAATAGGATATTATGGTCGACAGTATCGAACGCTGCACTGAGGTCTAGCAGGACAAGCACAGAGATGAGTCCACTGTCAGAGGCCATAAGAAGATCATTTGTAACCTTCACTAAAGCTGTTTCTGTGCTGAGCTCTGAAACCTGACTGAAACTCTTCAAATAAACCTCTGCAGATGATCTGTTAGCTGTTTGACAACTACTCTTTCAAGGATGTTTGATATAAAGGAAGGTTGGAGATTGGCCTATAATTAGCTAAGACTGCTGGGTCTAGAGATGCTTTTTGAGTGAAGGTTTAACTACTTTCTTCTATTTAGAAGATTCAAATGTCCAAACCATCTGAACACACACTCATTTCCCTCACATGTACTCAAGCAGCTACAGTTCAAAACAAAGAGGTGTAGCATACTGAGCAACAGAAACGTCACCATTAGCAACAGTATAATAGAGCCAGAAGGAAGATTTATAATATTTACGTATCCATTCAGTATAAATGGACCAAATGTTGGTAAGCCCTCCCTCTTCATGATTTTTCAGTGCCTTTTTTGACCACACTTAAAACTTAGCAAGAAACGCATCTTGGGACTTCCTGTTTACGTTGATGTGTGGATGTGGAACGGGATCATTGTGAAGAAGTTAAATTGTTGGTAAGGAATTGTTAAATATGCACATAAGTCGCTGAAACATATTGGTATAATTGTAATGCAGTGGTAACAAGTCAGTATTTTAACAAGATGATGTATTTCTGAAATGGGTGATGCAAAGGACCTGCATGTGCAGCGCGGGCGGCCATTGTCTGCATTCAGTACAAGTCCATGTGGCTGCTGTCGTCATTGACAATAAAAACTGCACATTAAGAACCTGTCACGGTTTGGCATGGTAGACCGTGGGGATGTGGGGAAAGGAGGACCCAGTCGCGGTACTCTGCGGTGCAAACAGTGCTCTTTATTTACAGTGAAAACTGTACACACAATAATACATCCCTGTGTGCTCCCGACTTCCACTCCGTGTCTTCTCCCAGTGTTTGTGCTCGTGTGTCTGCTGACCTCTAGTTCCAGCAATCCTCCTGGGAAAAACAGAGGCAGCTGTTAGTACCCTCAACGACACAGGTAGGCTCACACAAACAGACCAGCTGGAGAACTGACGGGAAGTCTCACGAAATGATCCCGCGCCGGTGGGAGCTCCAAGACTCTCCTATGTAGCCCTGATCAGCGGCAGGTGTGTAGCTTTGGGTGTGGCCAGTCCCCTAGCAGGGCCACACCCACCAGGCCTGAAGGCGCCTGTAAACCAGTGTTCATACACACCTGCACCCATACAGACACACACTCACATCTACAAGCATGGAGAAGAGCAGCAGCAACACCAAAAATACAATAATATCACCAGTCCATGACTGCCCCGGGATCCTGACAGAACCCCAGTAATTGTGTACTGTGTGGCTACATTTATGTAGCACCTTTCAAGATAACAATCACAAAGTGCTTCACAACAAAATACCAAAGCGTTAAAAAAGGTTAATCAAACGTTGTTTGTTTGTTTGTTTCTTGAAAGAGACCGCTGAGTTCACAGATCTCAGGCTCAGCGGGACAGATTTCCAGAGTCTGTGGTAAATGTTTTGTCTCTTAGTGTCCGTCCACGATTACAGGACCTCAGGTTCCTGATGTTGTTAGGTTGGAGAAAGTTGTCAACCATCCAACTTTTTATTGAGTTTAAGCACCTGTTTGGGATCTGCAGCTGAGAAACAACTTGGGGTTTAGTTGAATGTCATCTGCTCAAACGGTGGTAGTTATCCGTATCACTCACACACTCTGTGAAGGGCAGTTTCAGCAGAACAAGCTCTGTGAAGCAAAGAAAACTCAAACAAAGATGTATTCATGTAACATAAAACAGAACTTTGACCTTGCGGTGTTAATGTTAATATGTTAATATAAACATGGGAAGGCCGTTAGTAACGCTGTTATTCCATCACTGTCAGTTACACACGGGGACCCAGTGATAGCTACCCTTCACTTCAATTCATTTTTATTAATGTAGCACCAAATCACAAAAACAGAGAAAACCCCATCAACCAGATGACCCCCTATGAGCAGCACTTTGGCAACAGTGGGAAGGAAAAACTCCCTTTTTACAGGAAGAACCTCCAGCAGAACCAGGCTCAGGGAGGGGCGGGGCCATCTGAGATAGACATCCCATCATACTGTTCAAACAGCAGGAACATTAAACTCCCTGCTTCCTGTTCATCCAGGTGGAGTTTGTGCTGCTTTGTGTCCGTCAGACCAGGTGGTGTGCAGAGCTGCAGGATTCAGCAGGAAGCTGAACCTGCTGCTTCTTTCTCCACAGCATGAGTCCAGTCTGTGCCGCCGTGCACTCAGAACACTCCCAGTATACCTGCTGACCAGTCTGACTGGGATTACTGGTAATGCTGGAATGGTTCAACTGTGATGGCCTGAATACTCACAACAAACACGTTCTGATGTTGATGATCTTTAGGGGTACCTGAGCAGTCCAATAAAGGCTCTAAACCAGCGGTGTCAAATTTACGGCCCGCGGGCCACGTACGGCCCACCACACAGTTATTAGCGATGACCTTCTGTGCCGAGGCTTCGAAGCGTTTCGAATAATCCGGGAATCGAGGCTTTATTGACGACGCGTGTGGTGATGTTTGAAGGCTCGGTTACCGACCGTGTCATGTGATGATTCTGGAAACGGTTCGCCGTGTGATTGGAAATATGAAGGGCAGCAGAACACTGCTGGTCCCCCGTCACCATTTTCCCTGCCTGGCAACGTTTCGATGTTATGACTCAAATAAGGTTCAACAACAACAGCTCCTCTGTGCTGAGCGTTGCAGAGCCCTGAATGGAAACACGGAGCTCAGGTAAGTCGATGCGATGATCAGAGCACACAAGCGTACAGCCACATGGTACATTTCATTTA